TGTGAGATATTATACTATAGCACGTGAGTTGTCCGTGCAGCACGTGAGTTATCCGTGCAGCACGTGAGTTGTCCGTGCAGCACGTGAGTTATCCGTGCAGCACGTGAGTTGTCCGTGCGGATCCAAAAATTATACTATAGTACGTGAGTTATCCGTGCGGATCCAGATATTGATACTATAGCACGTGAGTTGTCCGTACAGCACGTGAGTTGTCCGTGCGGATCCAAAAATTATACTATAGTACGTGAGTTATCCGTGCGGATCCAGATATTGATACTATAGCACGTGAGTTGTCCGTACAGCACGTGAGTTGTCCGTGCAGCATGTGAGTTGTCCGTGCAACACGTGAGTTGTCCGTGCAGATTATAGCGCTTGGGCTGTAGGAGCCCCTCCGGAGTCTGTACACCCCCAGTGAGCGCGGGTACCCATTGAGTATGAGTGCTGAGGGATGAGAGCTGAGTGGTTGAGCTGTTGTGACGAGTTGAGTGACTGTTGCCCTGAGAGGGTGTACTTGCTTTTTATTTGTTTTGTTGTTGCACTTAGTTGCTATATGTCATTGTTGTGAAATTTTCTGAAGGATTTTATATCCGGATTACATGAACTTGAACTGTATAAAACTGATTTGGCTTAAACTGCTGGATTTGAAAGCATGTCTAATCTCTGTTGGAATTACTGAAAATGAATTGCAGTTGTGTAGCTCATCACTATCTTCAGTTCCTTATTTATTATTGTTACTTGCTGAGTTGGTTGTACTCATACTATACCTTACACTTCGTGTGCAGATCCATGTATTCCCGAACATAGCGGGTGTTGATTTTTTCACACAACTGATCTCCCGGAGATTCTGAGGTAGTTGCCGTGTTTCGCAGACCTTGCCTCTCCTTCCCTATCTCTTTGGTTGCTGTATTTGGTCTCAGACTATTATAGACTGTATTTTTCAGACTTGTATTCATAATAGATGCTCATGTACTCAGTGACACCAGGTTTTGGGGAGTGTTCGTATCAGTATTTGTGGGATTTTGTGTTGTATTTAAATATTATGTTTTCAAACTTAAAGGAAATCGGGGGTTATTGATGTTATCGGCTTGCCTAGTATTGAGATAGGCGTCATCACGACAGGTCAGATTTTGGGTCGTGAGAATGGCGATACAGTGTTATTTTCTCTAACCTTTTCCTTATGTTCCGTTCCATTGCTCAACTTACCTCAATCTTTGCATCAATCACTCCATGTCCTAATATGTCTTCAATAATTCTTATTTTTCGACCTAACACTTTCAATAATTCACAATCTACACAAAATATATTCAATTTATATTAATATTTGTCCATTTAAGCTCAACAAGATCCATTTAAGACTTAACCATTGACATGTCGCCCGAAAACGTACTTTCAATCTACCTAACACAAACGCCAATTACATCATTATCTGGGCTTACTTGTTCCTCCTCAAATCTTCTAAGCTCTAGGTAGTTCTTGTTACTAATGCCAACAAAACAGGTTGGTCCGGAGAAAAGATCACCCCAAAAATACTACTGGAAGTCTAATTTTCTAAGTTCTCATGCTGATCTTTTTTTTTTTTTTTTTATTTTTTTATAACTATNGGAGAAAAGATCACCCCAAAAATACTACTGGAAGTCTAATTTTCTAAGTTCTCATGCTGATCTTTTTTTTTTTTTTTTTAATTTTTTATAACTATGGTACTCGGGCCAGTTTGTACGTGTCTCGACTAATTTTACGGAATACTTGCCACCTTCCACCAGTAATAGGTACCAAGTAACTTTGTTTACCATGCTGGTGCTTTTTTTAAACTAGTCTTAGGGTACGCGCGTTGCGCGTTTACCCTATATTAATGAATAATATTTTTTTTTTAAGAAAAAAAGTATAAATTCTTTAGAATAACAAATGTTAATCCTATTCAGTTAAGTGTACAATATTTTTTTGTATCTATCTGGTATAATAAATTATTTTATCATGAAATCAGAAACTCATAGTTGCTGATTATCTTTGTTGCTTAATTGGAATAAAGAATGGTGATTCAAACTTCCATTTTGTGTGAGACAGTTAGGAGAATGTTGTACCCGTAAATATTTTATAATTTTTTGGGTAAGAAGAAACTTCCTTGTTTTGGCTAAAGGAATTATCATTTTTTAAATTTCAGAAATTTAATGATTAATTATTTTAAAATCCAAACACCATAACTATTTTTTTAACTGTTTAAATTGTCATCTCCTTTCATTTTCTAGAAAATCCAGGCAATAATATTTAGGAAGATTGCTCATGTTTGTTAAAATTTCATTCTTCGTTTATCAAAAAAAGTAGTACTCTCCTATTATTTCTCAATCTTACGAAACTTTAGGAATTAAAAAAAAAACTTTTCAAGTAAAAAACAATTTAAATATATAACAATGCTCTCTTTATATCGGAAACAATGGTAAAAAGTGCAAGAATAATATTTGAAATAAATAAATAAATATTATATCTAAAATAATAAAATATGTTTGAACTTTAATTGGCAAAATATACATAGATTTTTTTACCTCAAAAGCAATGTTGTCTTTATCCTCTCTTGTAGGATTAAAATATGACGCATGAAGAATGACACCGAAGACATGTGAAATTGAATTAGATGCAACTAATCTTGATTATAGATTTAAAACAATACTCAAACAAAAAGCAAACGAATGAAGATAAATTTATATAAATACACAGTAAAAGAATAGAATTGAAGGAGAAAAAAAAGGTCCAAAAGGAAATTTCAATAGTGGAAATCCCTTGACGAAGGAAACAAATATGCTATATTACGTACTCTTACTTTAATAAGGAAGAATTTAATATATAAAATTTAGTAGATTTTGAAATCTTAAATATTAGAAAATTAATTAAATGACTATGTCTAAATATTAGAAAAATAAATAAATGACTATTTTATCCCATGTGAAATCTATTTTTAAAAGGTAAAATAGGCGAACGACATTTCGCTAAGGGACTTCGTGCTTTTAATATAATATATAGATATATAGATTTCTTATAACCATGGTACCCTGGCCAGCTTGCACGTGCCTCGACTAATTCCATGGAATACCTGTCACCTTCCACCAACAACAAGTACCAAATAACTCTGTCTACCATGCTAATATTTTTTTTGATAATCGTGGTACCCGATTAGCTTGCAAGCAGCTCGACTAATTTTATGAAATACCTACCACCTTCTACCAACAACAGGTACCAGACAACTCTGTTCAGCATGCTAATCTTTTTTTTTTTTTTGTGGTAAGTAAAAGATTTTATTTACCAAGTATAATTATTTACAATCTAACAAAGTGAACCTAGCTTTCTATCATAGCTCCTGGTGGACATGAAGCCCAAGTTGGGAGTTACCTAGCTTTGCTACAATACCTCTCCTGCTTCTTTTGTCTTCTAAACTACATCAGGATACCAATTCAGTGTATTCATGGTTCTATATAACCTAGGAAATAGCTTGGCCCTAATGTGTATTTCTTGAATGATTAGTCGAAGGATAGAATTAGCAGATCTCTTCTTCTTCTGGAAAATAACATTATTCCTCTCTTGCCAAATATGATAAACTGTTGCTGCTATTGAAATTCTGCATACTGCTGCCCCTCCACTTTTATCTTTGGCCATCTTTTCTATCCACTTCAGCTCCTCCTGCCAATCTCCCTTTGTTCTCTGAATGCCTTGCCAGTTTAGAAGCTGCTTCCATATAGTTGCTGGTACTTCACAGTCAAAGAATAAGTGTTGTAATATTTCATTTTCTCTTTGACAGAGTGAGCATGTTTTGTCTGCAATAATCCCCCGTCTTGCTAGCCTTTCTTTTGTAGCTAACCTATCTTGTATTGCTGGTCGTAGTATGAAAATCTACTTTGGTAGCCCTTGATTATTACATACTAGTTTTCTCCATGGCACTTTCTGAAACTCCCCTTGCATGGCTTTGTATATGTGTCTTACGGAGATTCTCTCCATTAGATTTACCTCCTCTTCTGTATATCCAGCAACCTCAAAGTAGTTTCTTACCTTGAATATTTGCACTCTTTGGCTCTGTATTCCATATAGTGTTCCCCTTTATGTAGTATGCATAAATTCAGTAGACCCATCACTTTTCCTTCTTTGTATAAATGTGCTATAAGAGCTTGCAAATAGCTGCTTTATTCCATAGCTCCACATTGATGAAGTTTAGTCCTCTTGCTACCTTTGGAGCACAATGTTTATTCCAAGCAATCAATGCCTTTTTGGTAGGTTCAGCAGCTCCTGACCATAAGAATCTCCTGCATATTGTTTCTAAATGATTTTCTTTGGCAAAATGAATATTTGAGCCCAGAATGTTTGAATTGCAACTAGAACACTCTTAATTAACATTGCTCTTCCGGCATATGACAAAAAATTTGTTGTCCAACATTGGATCCTGCTTAACATTCTATCAATTAGAGGTTCACATTGGATAGCTGATAACCTCTTGGTGCTCAATGGGACTATCTAAAAGGTAGTTCTCCTTTAGTGTACCCTAGCATGTCCATAATATGCTATTGAGTCATGTTGTTTAATCCACCAAAGTAAATACAATTTTTGTTAGGGTTTGCAATTAGTCTTGAGGCTGCAGAACATATTTGAAACTGTTGATGGAGTATCTTGACTGATTGTATGTCCCCTCTACGGAAAAAAAGTAGATCATTAGCAAATCCCAATTGCACTAAGTTGACTTTGGCACATTTTGGATGAAAATTAAACTTCTTGTTATCCTTTAATGCCTTCAGTAGTCTGCTAAGATACTCCATGGCCATCAAAAATAAAACTGGAGATACATACATCGATGGAGAGAGAAAAGGGACAGAGAGAGTGGACGAAAAAAGTGTTAAATTTATTAAGCATGCCAAATGAAAAAATAATGAAGAGATAGTAGTCACGAGCATGATTTTAAGTGAAAACATAAATCCTCGAAATTACTAAAACAGAGAACCTTTACTCCGGAGCCACTTTTGTCCTTGCTAATTATCTGAATTATTTGATTCACTCAAAGGATTTAATACAGCTCCAGTGAAAAGTACCAATCTTGAAACCTCTTCCCTTATCATGAACAAGAAAGGGTGATCTGCTACAAACGTTGGACGAGGTGGTGGTGTTAAATCATACAATGAAAATCCCAAGTCATCATCTGACTCCTCAGTAACAGCTGATGCCTCAGTACCTTTCTCATTTACTTCAATAAATGTTTTTTGTAATATCCTATTGATAACGAATGGCCCTTTAGTTTCTACAATCCAAGTAATCTCTTCGCAGTCTTCGTCAAAAGGTAGAGTCAATCTCATTTCCTTCATTGTTTTTATCACTTCATCCATTGCAGTGTATGAGAATTTGAACTTTGGAATGAAGAATGCGTCAAGTTCTTCCTTCTGAAGCCTGTACTTTTGGGTAAAGAATTTTGGATCGGAAATTAATTTTTCCAATAAGCTAAGCAATCCATCTTTTTCATTTGGAAGGAAAACAAACATAGAGAACTCTTTATTATCTTTTCCAATAAAGTATGGAATTTTAGCAACTTGATAACCTTCATATGATCCATAATGAAAATCGTAGCAGCCAGTCATGAATGGAACTGAAACTTCGTCTCCGTTGAGTAGATAAAAGTCTTTGTTTATGGTTCGATCTGCATCAAAGTTTCATGTACCTTTAAAATACAAGGCATTTGCAAAAATGACTGTTGTATATATGCTGAGGTGCATGGTCTTGAGAATTTCAGTAATCAGCCCTTTTGTTGCAGAGTTAGGCCACAAGTTAGCTTCTTGCACTACCTCTTCCCGCATTAATCCATTTGTGTTTAATTCATATGCACAAGTTCTTGCATAAACTAAACTCATGTTATATTGGATTTAAGTTATATATACGAGCAACAGGCTATATAATAGGCAATTACTCTACTTACCGTGGAATATAAATATGTGAAGCTTATTCGTAAGAGGTACATGTTATTATGTGTCAGTTTAACTTGACGGTATGAGAAATTTATCCGCTAATAATACTAAACAAAAATTAAACCTTTTATTTATGGCATTCAACATTGTACATGAAAAGACCGTGGAATATAAATATAAATGGGTATACACAGTAAAATTCCACATAAGTAGGGAGATTGAGAGATATAAAGCAAGGTTAGTAGTAAGAGAATTCACAATGTAGCCTAGCAATCAATGAAATTGGAGTGAAGACCATGGAAATTTCATATGTAGTTCAATTTTAGAAAAAAGTAAGAAAGTGAGATTTATTCCCATCTAGCTAAATTAATTTGGTTGGCAAATACCTTGAACTAGCCAGTGTGGTGGGCATCGCCATTATTGGAAAAGATAAAAGGAGGTAAGGAAGGATAATTCTAGAATTTAGCAAGCGTTTGGACATAGATTTGGTTACAAGTTGAAAAAAAAGTTTTTGAAGTTGTGTTAAAAAATAATTTTTGGAAGCTGAAGTTGTGTTTGGACATGCATTTTGATGAAAAAACTTGAAGTTTTGTGAGTGAAAGAAAATTTTCACCCAAAAACTGCCCTAAATCAGATGTTGGGAAACTTGAAAAAAAAAAAATTTTTTAAAAAAAACTGATCATATTTAAGGAACAAACAATGTTTTCAAACTTTTTGAGAAAAAGTTGCCAAAATCTAAGATCAAAGGGGAGTTTAGTGTTTTGCTAAAATAATTGTCTATGCTAATTCAGAGACTTAAGAACAAGCATTTGTGGCATTAGTGATATCAATCTATTCTGATCATTGATTAAGAAATAAATCATACTTTTATGTGGCTACACTCTATTATTGTGAGCGTTGTCAAAGGCAAAAAACTCAAAAAAAATGTTCTAGGTTTATTGGGGCTTTAAGCGCAAAATGCATCAAAAGTAGGGACTATAGTGAAAACAAGGCGCAATCAAGGGGAAAATAAAAATATATATGTAATTTAGAACGTAGTACCAACGTCTTTACATCTAATACAATTATTTTTCGATTATATTTGTTGTTTAGTGCCACTTGATTCACAATAAAATTCATGGGCAATGACGCACATGTCTTAGAGCTTTGGCTTATACTAAAGCTCATCTTAAACGAGACTAAACGCCATCGCTGAGGATTTTCTGAGCTTCGGGGCTTAACCTATCTTAAATGAACCTTTGACTACATTAATTATTCCCTTACCCAAAAAGTAGCACTAATCTCGAAATATTGTGCCGTATAATTACTCGAAACTCTACTTATAAAACAATAGCGCTTGTCATGTCAACCAAGTTCTCCCTGAAAGTATAGGGGAATGAACAGGTTTTACATGTTTGAAGATTATATCATTTGTGATTCAGTGACATCAATGGCTACATACTTGAAGATTTTTTAGTGACGATGATGTCTGCACCAAATTGTACGCACCTGAATTCACCAAAAAAAGGGAAAAAGATTAAAGGGAATACTCAAGAGATTAAAGGGAACACGCACCTTGCGTCTAAAATTAACAACTTTAGCCTCAGTATTATAGACAGAGTTGACTAATTCTTTGTAAGAGTCTCAATTCATGTGTATGAGCCACCCACATTCCGCTAAGGAAACGCAAATCAGGGCCACCATTAATATTCCCATTGCTCTCAAAAACAGCAGCCATATTTAAGAAGTTGGAATTCAGATCGACAACATCGTTAACACCAAGAAATTGAAGCATTTGATTTAATGTATATCCCGTTGCTCCGGCGGCCGTCATGCTCAGTACGGCGTGGAAAGATAGTGGAGACAACAATATGTTATTATAATTAGATTTATCACTTTCTTTAACCTCCTTAAAAAGAAGCCGAGCAGCAACCTGTGGACAAGAATCAATCTTCTCTTCGTTATTGCATTTGGCCATGTTTTTGTGAAACTTGAAAGCTATAATACAAACCCTAGGTCTCTTCTCGTTTTTGTCTAAATACTATCCCCAAATTATGAATTTTTATCTTATAATCACTTTAAGTTTGACCAAGATTTAAAATATTTCTTTTTAGAACAAAACTACTACATTCATAATCATTGCCTCAAGTATTTATTCAACCTAAACCCCCTGTCTCTTCAAGTCTACAATTCTCATTGACTATTTAAGATAAGCAAATTATCTATTTCTTTGCATATTTGTATCAATGTAATTGTGTATTAATCTTTGAACTGTATGTAGTAAATGAGGACATATCAAATTTTTGGTATATTGCTTTCTAAGTGTTGTGGTAATGAAGACAATGTTTGTTTCTCTTCAAATATTTTGTCCTATTTACGTTTATTTTTTACTGAGAAACTTTTGTCAATTTATTAATTATTATAACTTATGATTATATGCTTATCATAAAATAAATTATATCTATCATAAAAATTATCTCATCTAAGCACAGTTGTATTTAAAATAAAATGACAAATAGAATATTTTGTATTTGAATCGATCTGAAATCTAAAATTTTGAAGAAATTATGCCCTTATAAGTGTAAATAGTTCTAATGTTATTTAAGTCATTTTAACAGAAAAAAAGCTTATCAGCATTTTTTTATTAAATACTACAGCAGCTTATTATCAATTTCAGCACTTGTATCCAAACACGTAACTACTTATTTATTAAATCAGTTTCAACACATAAAAGTACTTTTCAGCCCCTAATGCTTATCAGCTACTTCAAATCAGCTAATCCAATTTGGCTCTATATAAGTTCTGCTAACCTAATGCTAGCCCTACCTCTTTCAATTATGAGTCCTCGAGATTTTAGGACTCTGTTGGAATAGAAATTATACTAATTATATATAGAAGATACATGTTATATATGTGTCAATGGATTTGGTGTAACATGTTATATAAATATGTGCTTAGGTATTTCCCTGTCTCGTTATCTGGTAACTAGTTAATGTAAAATGTTAAAATATTAAACTTTTTAAATGTTAGGATAATCTCTAGAAGTTAGGTTAACTTATATACACGCACGGTGTAAAATATGTAATACTATCATTATTATTTCACTTGTTATAACAATTCATTTATTATTCTTTACCTATCGTAAGTCTATTTTTGCGATATATATTTACATGTACTTGACTTCGAGTAACCTAGTATTGTAAAAACATTCTTCACAAGTTTAACTTAGATATACTTACAATGGAAAAGATGTTTATACTGTTAGTTATTGTAGTTTTACCTATTATAACAAAAAAATTATCAAGTATTGCAAATTACCCATATATATGTTTAATGTGAGCACATATTTTTTGACCTAAAATTTAGATCTAAGTTTAAATAATTAAATTTTCTAACAAATTTGAGTTAATTTTAACCAATGATTATATCCAAAAGGTCGTTGGAATGATTATTGAGATAAAATGGTTCCACCACTGTCGAGTAATTGTAAGTATGCAATAAAGACAATATTTAATGGCTCAACATAAAGAAGATAGCATTCAATAGTAATAAATGAAATATAATGGCATTATAGTAAATAAATGCAAATGAGGTAACCGAGATAGGGCTGGAATTGATGATATTCCTCCTAACAATGAGGAATGATTGATAGACCTTTGAATATTCGTATTCTTCTTGGATCGTGGGATAAAAGTTAGAATCAAATCTGAGATAAACAGTATATTTTGGATGTATATTGATCCTCGTCCTTTTCGATTGCTTGACATAGGGGAACAAAAAGAAAAGCCCTATACACCAAATCCAAACTCAATAGCGAGTGTCATTGGAAGAATAGTACCCAACAAGAATCAAGGTCAATTTCCACACGGAGTTTAATATGGGCGTTAGGGTGTGCACTTGATGAGAGTAAATAAAATAACTCAATTGCACTTCTAAACAAGGGATTTTGTTTTCCACTTCTAAATTATCACTAACAATTGTAAACTAATGAAAAGAAACTAGAAAGTGAGTTTTTATTTATTTTTTTATTTTTACCAAATGGTTAAAAGGTCTAGGGATGTAACCCTCACCTAGGTATTCACCTAATGGGTTAAGCACGTTAATACTTGTTTTATTGATCGTGGTGTATTATAGCTCTCAACTCTAAGTTACTCACTCAATACCTCTCGGTCATAGAGTGATTTTGCCCAATTTGGCTTCCTCAAGCCCAAATGGGTATCAAGCTAAATGGTTGATTAGAGCTCAAGTCGGGTTTTCCCTATCTATAGTTCAAACCCTTTAACTAGGCTAGTCAAATCCTTAACTAACTCAATTTCTTGTAAGCCAAGTTTTACTAGAGTAGGTCTCTCTTTCTCAAGTAAAGACCATATAAAAAAGGCATGAATAAATGTTTGCAACCATTAATTCTATAATTAAAGCATGAACAAGGCTAAATAAAACATCCAATCATAAACAAGCATTAACTTAAATACCCATAATGTTTACACACTAGGGTTGAGTCACAATCTTAGTAAAAGTCTAGCTACTCATAGTAGAAAATGAAGAAAACAAAGAAGAAATACTAATTAAACCCGTAATAGAAGATTAAAATGATAAACTATGATGTTTGTATCCCAAAATGATCACAAAATTCCAAAAATAGAAAATTACAACGACTACAGCTGCTAGAATTTCAAAACTTGACCTAAAAGTGTGATTCTCGTCTATTTATAGTGGCCGAAAATTTGCTGACAAAAATACTCCTCGGGAGGTTCTGCGGCTACACAATTTCATGTGCGGTCCGTATATTACTTGAGTTTGCAGGGGCCTGGATTCTGCAACTGCACAATTTAGTTTGCAGCTGCGATTTATCTACTACGGCCGCACATTTCATGTGTGGTCCGTAGTCCGCACTTCAGGCAAGGCTTCAAGTCTTGGTCCTTTGCACACTCTCTGAACTTTTTGAATTTTTGTCAGTGCGGACCATGTTCTGCGGCCGCACAAATTGTGTGCAATCCACACTTCTGCTTCAAGTACTTCAGGGTTTCTTCATCAGTTCTACGGCCACAAAGGGAATTCTGTGGTCCACTCTTGCTTCTGCGGACCACACTTCTTGTATTTCTCCGCCCCTTCTTATCTTGTATGTCGAAACACTCCTTTTGAGTTAGATTATTTCATAAGAGCTCAAATTTCTAATATTTCTGCAATTTGCACATTTTTATTAGTTTTGGGAACATAAATTAATACTTTCGGATTAAACAAAAGTAAAAAGGTACTAATAAGTGGTCAAAATTCACACTTCTCAACTCCCCCAAACTTGAGTCTTTGCTTGTGCTCAAGCAAATAGATTAGTTCCCACCTCCTCAAAGTGAAAGGTCATTTCAGCGAGTCAATGATGAGGTATTCATACTCAGTTGGGACCAACAATTATCCACATTACTCATGCATTATCAACAAGATGACAAATTAAATATTCATGCACATATAGTTCTAATGTGGCATTTGAGCTTCAAGAATTGACTTTATTTATCAAGCACTCTTGTTCTATCATGTAGGTCCTGGTAGACTCCAAACTCTTCCTCCTCTACCTTCCATTTGCCAAGCTCACTTAAAAAGTTAGCACTCAATCTTAAGATTCATGAAAGGTTCACTCTTCTCTCACAAGAGAATGCCACAAGTATGACTTTAAGTACCACATGCTTGCCTCTCATGTAGATCACCACTAATGTAAGCTCACTCGGTTCGAAATTAAGTGAGACTTCTTTCGGGTTGTAATGAAGGATTTTGGATCAGGGTAGGATACCATATGGGTAAGTGGTTACACCTTTCCTTAAGCACTCCACATTTTTATTTCTCGGCTCATAATTACCAATCCTTAGTGGCATTCTCTTTTATTTATTTATTTATTTATTGGGGGTTCGAGAGACTTGGCATCATTATTTCTTGTTCCTTTCATTCTTTTTCTCCCTTGATGCTCATGTTAGGGATCATTACCTCATTTTGAATCCATCAACATTTTCACTTATTCTCTTTTTTACATATTTCTTTTTGTTCTTTTTCTTTTCTTGTCTTCTCTTTTCATAGAGATCATTTCTTTTCTCTTTTTGTACATAGATACCTTTTTCAAATTGCTAATCTCTCCCCTAAACTTTTGCTTTAAGCCACTTATTTTACGAGTGTTAACGAAAGTCTGGGTGCTAAGAGAGGATCACGATAAAACAGGTAAAGGCTTATAGCATGGTTATCAAATGAGAAAGGCTGGAGGCTCAAAGGGGGTTGACTAGAGATAACAACATTGGTTGGTAATAGAAAGCTCAAACGGGTCAAGGAAAGCCTACAATCATTTTTCAATCCAAGCAAAACTTAGGATTTTGCCTTGAAGCATATTTAGGACAAGTTCTAGACTATTCGCTCGGATACTTGGACTAGCAACAAATCACCTCACCCCTCATGCAACTAGACCGTAAAAGAGGATAGAGTCGGGAGCCTACAACAACCACACTCAATTTAAAGATCACTATGGTCCAATTAACCACTCGATGATTATCAAAGTCAACTCAAGAGTCTCAAAGTCACTAACTAGAGCTATTTTCTTTCAAAAACCTTGTTTCAAACCATAAGTGTGTAGTTAAATGTGTTGGTACTAACTGAAGCATGAATAACTCTTTTTCGGGAAAGACATAATTGGGCCTTTTATTCATTACTACTATTACTACTATCTAAACACAAAACAGACTCATTCCCTGAAGAAGGTTGTCACGCCATCCATCGTTGGGACGAGTCACCCGGTTTACACAAAAACTACCTTTGAAAATAACCGTGGTATTAAGAAAACCAAAGGCTTATTATCTATGAAAGCATAAAAAGAAGCTACTAATCAAAACGAGAATTAAAGTGGAAAAATAAAGAAGCTAATGAACAATAACTACTAAAGATATTTAACTACAAATAAGAAAAGGTATAGAATCATCAAATTATTACAGTCCAACTGTGTCCAAA